TTATTATAATCAAAAGAAGTGCTAAACTGCAAGGGTTATACAGTGAACTATGGTGCTAATGTGAGAATCGTGAGAATGATGTACGTAGCCTATGGTAGATCCTTAACCCTTTGACTGTCGCAGGCCCCTTTCTGAAACTGTCATTCTATGTCGCAAAATTTTTGAAAAAAAAAAAAAACTATTTTTTCTTATGAAATGACAGAGAATCTTTTCCCGGTGGTAATGACACCAAAAGTTCGAAATTTGGTCGAAAACTCACGGAATTACGCTACCGCGAAGTTAGCGGTCTCGGCGACATATATGTATCGGCGATTTTGCCGACTTTGAGCCCTGTTTTTAGCCAATTCCGTTGTTCCAGTTGACCAAACTCATAGCTATTTCTTTAGAACTCCATTTTATCTATCAGTTGAGTACAGGAAACTGCCCATTTACCAATTTGAACTGCCCAATAAAGTGGTCAGAAATTGGCAATTTGGTCAATTTCACGCAAATCAAAAAAGATGCCAATTTCAAAATAGGGTCCAGAATAAACAAGGTAGACATTCTTGGCACTAAAATAACATATCCTCTGTTCATTAGTCACATCTCTAGGCCCCTCTTATATTACTATTGCTTTCTATTTTGATTTTTTATTCATACAAAAAAATACAAAATTTACTGGTATGCAGACTACTGCATTATTTTAAAAATGGTATAAATAATATCAGTGCACTAGAGAAAGAATATTAGATTCCCCAGTTGACGTGTATTGGACGTGTGGTGTGATTTGCTTACTCGTGAACATTGGTAAAAATCGAACATTTCCGCTACTTTTGAGCTCAGTTTCAAGGCCGTTTTCATCATGAAAGTAATGAAAATCATCTCTATTTCTGTAATATGTTTTCCATTTTATCACCTAAGACCATGAAAACGAGAATACAATGATAAATACTATACAAAAATACACCTCAAAGTCGGCATTTTAATCCAAAAAAAAACGGTCAGTTTTTTTTTTCTCATTACGCACTGTGTGCTGCAGGATTTTTTTTATGTGGTGCACACTGACCACGCAGACCCATTCTCTCACATGTGGGCCTACCAGGTTTCTCCTGCTTGATTTGAAGCCACTAGAATTTATGAGTATATTTATGTCAGAAACAGTGGCGCGTAAGACGTACTTATACGGCATAAACAATCAAAGGGTTAATTATGTTGCTCCCATGTTGATATTAACTAAAGTTCTCTGCAACCCTTGGAGTTATGCAAAATGAAGCTCTCAGAATTATTCTTGGCTGTCCCAAATCTACAAAGGTTCCTAATATGAGGAAGGAGCTTGGTACGTATTTCTAGTATCAGTGACAGGATTATTGAGATTAACACTGTACTCGGTATTAGAATGTTAAGAACTGAACCAGACACTGTCACTATGAATTTTACTAAATGTCTGTAAGTAAATACACAGATCTAAATGGATTGTGAAAACACTCAATTATATGTGCTTGTAACTGCAAAATAAGTCACCATGGACCCCAAGAAAGCTTCTAGTGCCATTCCTGTGGTAAAAAGGGCGAGAATTAGTATGGAGTTGAAAAGAGAGATTAAGGAAATGTGTGCAAAGTGGGTTGAACTGGAAAACCTTTACGGATGAAAATCACCCTGACACAGCTACTGCGAGCCGTGTTGGCAACCTGTACAATGACAATGTTATGGCCCATTTTAGGAAAGTCTTAAAGGAACGGGAGGTACAGAGCTCTATAGACAGATTTGTTGTGCGACAGAGGTCCAGTGACTCTCAAGCTGGTCCTAGTGGCATTAAAAGAAGAAGGGAAGTAACACCAGAAAAGGACTTGCTACCTCAAGTCCTAATGGAAGGGGATTCCCCTTCTAAACAATAACTTCCACACACTCCCCTCCTCCTATCCCATCAATTATCACCAGATCCTCAATAAAGGTAAGTGTCATGTATTTTATTCTTAGTAGAGTAGTAATTGTGCATGTCTTCTTCAGTTTGTGTGTATTAAAATTAATATTTCATGTGGTAAAAAAAAATTTTTTTTTCATACTTCGGGGTGTCGGGAAAGGATTAATTTGATTTCCATTATTTCTTATGGGGAAAATTAATTCGTCTAACGATAATTTCGGCTTACGATGAGCTCTCAGGAACGGATTAATATCGTAAGGCGGGATTCCACTGTATTTACACTGATGGATATAAACAGGAGTCTTCTGGCAGGGCTGCATCTGCTCTTGTTGCCACTTCCCTAGTTAAGAACAATAATAAATTTGTTGAACTAGGCATAAGAATTAACAACTGGACATCAATACTGCAAACTGAATTGTTTGCAATCCTAATGCCACTAAGCTAACTTATGACACTGAGCTTGACCCTATTATCATTGCTGATTTTATGTCATTACTGAAGGCTCTTGACTCATATAATGACTCCAACAACATGCTCATTGGAGAAGCCAGGTATAGATACTCAAAAATCCGGGAAAAAGGAATTAACGTATAATTGCTATGGATCCCATTACACATTGGATTACTCCTTCATGATAAATTTGATGTTAGCCAAGAAGAGTACCTTGAAGGAGAATGTAGAATATAACTTTGGTATATCTGTATCTATCATTAGGAATAATATTAGGAGAGAAGTAAATAATGAAAATGAATGTTATAAGAATGCAGTTAGAAGTCTGAGTAGATCTATAACCCACTATGATAACATGAATGTAGATAAGTATATTTATGAAGTAACTTGCAATGTGAACAGACTGACTGATGTTGTAGTGGCCAGGCTTAGGCTTGGTTACAAGTACTTCTGGCAGTTTGGCAGACACACAGATAATGATCGAACTAAATGCAAATTATGTAGTCAAGCATATGGTCACTGTCTTGAACAATGTGTGTTTAATAGTCCACTTATTGAGGAATATATTGATAGACAGTATAATAACCTATGTGACATGTCACGATATCTTATTAATGAAAATAAGATACCAGATATACTAAGCAAATTTCCTAAATTTGCTTGTAACAGATAAGTGAACTGTAGATTTGTAGAAATAAATCCAAATGTACACCTGTTAACCCTTTTGGGGCCTAGTTCCTAGGCCTTTTGTGTATCCATATGCACTTGTGCTACCATCCACAGGATGGATATGGGGTGTACAATACACTAGCCACTTCGGTGGCAAAATCTAATCTGTGCCCTCTAGGCCGTTATAAAAAAAGTGACTACAAAGCCTTGATGAATAAAACTTACTTTAGCAACTTTGTTTCCAATCGACCAAGGATGAAAAAAATATGAACTGGGACCTTGGCCAATATCTACACTCAGACTTCTAGCTCCAAATCTCTTATATTTAGCAAGTTGCAACTGTTGTAAATTATTACATTCGTGGAAGGAGCAATAAATCCTTAAAAGCAGTGGCAGCTCGTAATGCCAGTAATACCTATACAGTGGACCCCCGCATAACGATCACCTCCGAATGCGACCAATTATGTAAGTGTATTTATGTAAGTGCGTTTGTACGTGTATGTTTGGGGGTCTGAAATGGACTAATCTACTTCACAATATTCCTTATGGGAACAAATTCGGTCAGTACTGGCACCTGAACATACTTCTGTAGTGAAAAAATATCGTTAACCGGGGGTCCACTGTACTATTATACTGCATCACACTTCTATTTTTAATCATTTTTTATCTCATTTCAACAAAAAAAAAAATTAATTTTGCTTATAAATATATTGAAAACAACATACAACAGATTTTTCCTGTAATATATTTGTCAACTGCAGATTATTTTAGCGTAAGGTTGACGAAGTCATACGTCTGGCAGTGAGCATCTGGGGGGACTGCAGCTCTGCAGCTCCTATGGACAAGCCGCCATTGCTTGAAAGTCGTACAGTAATGCTGTCCTAGAGGATGCTATCATTTAATTTTGTTGGGCTAGGTTAAAATAATATAAACCCGATTTGGGAAATAATTTAACGGTAGATGACTGCTCCTCGGCACATTTAGGTCAGGTATACATAATAATCAAGGGTACGCTAAACCAGAGGATTATACAGCACCTGGGGGGGGATGTGGAAGGGCATTCAGGCGTTAATTCGGACTGAGCACAGATCCCATTCCCGAAAATCAAGAGCCCCTCACCAACATCAAGGAACCATCCCTTGAGGGGGGTCAGGTATACAGAAGTACAATTATCATACATAGTAACATATGAGTAAATTACCTAGGATAACTCAAAAAAATTAGTGACTTATTTCCTCTGGGGTCCTTCCTTACACCTGTTGCCTCTGTTCACATAACAGTAAATAAGGTACCTGGTTCTAAGTTTATTTAGGTACAGGTTCACATGTGTAAAAATAATATGTAAAATAATCATAGTAACATGAGTGAATTACTTCGGATAACTCCAAAAAAAAAAAAAGTCAGTGACTTGTTTCCACTGGGGTCCTTGTTAGTTGTTGGACACAACCTGGGGAAGACCCCAGGACCACACTGGAAATAATGAGACTTGAGTAGCTTCATCAAACTATTATTAAACCTGCTGGTTATTAATCCGAATAAATTCACTTAGATTATTATGAAGACTTAACCTAGGCTAACACAACAACTTGACACAATTCCACTGGGGTCACCACTGTATGCCTATATAAGTAACTGGCTAATTAATTCACTTACTTAACCATACCAAAATTTTTGAAAACCAAAAAAAAAAAGTGCACACGAAGCACACTACAAAAACCTGCCCCTTCCCCCCCAAAAAAAAGTCACGTGACATTTACAAAATCCACCCTTATTAACAATTAAACAATTCTCATGACTCAGAAATGCTTAATTTACAATTTATACATACAAAAAACACACAAGTCTGTGCAATAACAGTGTGGTGGGGGGGCAACAATCACTAGGGAAAGCCTGCAGTGTTATTTCAAAATTTTAGAGTTTTTTTCGCCTATTTATTATGTGAGGTTCAGTGTTATGATGTAGTAATGATGTTCAAGGTTACCTGAGTTCAAAACTTTTAGAGGTCTGGCACCTGAAGTGGAGTTACATGGAGATTTTTGTTGAATTTTGGAAGTGCACAAACCTACACCTTACCGGTGGGAACACTGATGCTTGAATGCGCACTCCCTCCCTCCCATTCCCTCTACCTCCCTAACACTCCCTCCCTCCCATTCCCTCTACCTCCCTAACACTCCCTCCCTCCCATTCCCTCTACCTCCCTAACACTCCGAACTCCCGTCCCTCCCATTCCCTCTACCCTCCAAACACTCTCCCTCCAATTCCCTCTACTCGCCTAACAATCCCTCCCTCCCATTCCCTCTACCCATCCCAACACTCCCTCCCCACCCATTCCCTCTACCTCCCTAACAATCCTCCCTCCCAATTCCCTCTACCACGCTAACTACCTCAGTCCCTCACCTCCCATTCCCTCTAACCTCCCTAACACTCCCTCCCTCCCATTCCCCTCTACCTCCCTAAACACACCCCTCCTCCCTACCATTCCCTCTACTTTTCCCTAACTCTCCTCCCACCTCCCTCCCATTCCCTCAACCTCCTAACACTCCGCTCCCTCCCATTCCCTCTACCTCCCTAACACTCCCCTCCCGCCATTCCCTCTACCTCCCCAAACACTCCCTCCCCCCATTCCCCTCTAACCTCCTAACACTCCCCCCACCCATTCCCTCTACCTCCCTAACACTCCTCCCTCCCTTCAACCCATTCCCTCTACCATTACCTAACACTCCCTCCCTCCCAATCCCCTCTACCTCCCTAACACTCCCTCCTCCATTCCCTCTACCTCCCTAAACTCTCCCTTCCCCTCATTCCCTCTACTCCCTAACACACCCCCTCCCATTTCCCCTCTACCTCCCTAACATCCCTCCCTCCCATTCCCTCTACCTCCCTAACACTTCCCTCCCTTCCCATTCCCTCTACCTCCCTAACACAGCCCCTCCTCCCATTACCCCTCCTACCACCCTAACACTCCCTCCCTCCATTCACCTCTACCTCCCTAACACTTCCCCCCTCCCATTCCCTCTACTTCCCTAACACTCCCTCCCCTCCTCCATTTTTCCCCTCTACCTCCCTAACACACCCTCCTCCCCTCCCATTCCCTCTACCATTCCCTAACACTCCTCCCTCCCTACCCATTCCCTCTACCTCCCTAACACTTCCATCCCTCCCTCCCATTCCCTCTAACCTCCCTAACACTCCTCCCTCCCATTCCCACTACCCTCCCTAACACACCTCCTCCCTCCTCATTCCCTCTACTTTCCTAACATCCCTCCCCTCCCATTCCCTCTACTCCCTTACACTCCCTCCCTCCCCCATTCCCACTACCTCCCTAAACACTCCCTCCCTACCCATTCCCTCTACCTCCCTAAAACTCCCGTCCTCCTCATTCCCTCTACCTCCCTAACACTCCCCCCCCCATTCCCTCTACCTCCCTAACACTCTCCTCCCCCCATTCCTCTAGCCTCCCTACACTCCCTCCCTCCCCTCCATTCCCTCTACCCCCCTAGACACTCCCCCTCCCATTCGCCTAACCTCCCTAACACTCCCTCCCTCCCTCCCATTCCGCTACCTCCTAACACTCCCTCCCTCCCATTCCCTCTACCTCCCTTACACTCCCTCCTCCCATTTCCCTCTACCTCCCTAACACTCCCTCCCCTCCCTCCTTTCCCTCTACCTCCCAACACTTCCCTCCCTCCGCCATTCCCTCTACCTCCCTAACACTCACCTCCGACCCTCCCATTCCCTCTACCTCCCAACACATCCATCCCTCCCTCCCGATTTCCCTCTAACCTTCCTACACTCCCTCCCTCCATTCCTCTACCTTCCTAACACGCCCTCCCTCCCATCCTTTCCCTCTACCTCCTCACCTCCCTCCCTCCCATTTCCCTCTACCTCCCTCCAACCATCCCTCTTACCTCCCTAACACTCGCCTCCCTCCCATTCCTCACCTCCCTCCCTCCCATTCCCTCTACCTCCCTAACACTCCCTCCCTCCCTCCCATTCCCTCTACCTCCCTAACACTCCTCCCTCCCATTTCCTCTACCTCCTAACACTCTCCTCCCTCCCAATTCCCTCTACCTCCAAAAACTCGCTCCCTCCCATTCCCTGCTACCTCCCTAACACTCCTCCCTCACATTCTTTCTACCTCCCTAACACTCACCTCCTTCACTCCCATTTCCTCTACCTCCCTCCCATTTTCCTCTACTCTCTAACACTCCCTCCCCTCCCCTCCATACCCTCTATCTCCCTCCCATTCCCTCTACCTCCCTATTGTGCTATTTGTAATTTGTATTTTTATATTATTAGACTAAACCTAGTTGTACTATCGCTCTTTCTAGCTCAATACATAGTCTGGTACCAAATTCACTAAGTAGACCATATTGCAATTACCTATGAGAGACCGTGCTAATTTTAATTTGTATTTTTATATTATTAGATTAAATTCAGTTGTACCATAGCTCATTCTAACTCAATACATAGTCAATACCAAATTCACTATATTAGACCACAGTGCAATTACTAGTAGAGACTAGTGCATTTTTAATTTGTATTTTTTATATTATTAGATTAAACCTATTGTACTATATCTTCATTCTAGCTCAAAAACATAGACTCCACAAAAGTCTTAATTAGACCTTAGTGCAATACAAGTGAGAGTCTTGTTCTATTTTTTAATTTGAAATTTTATATTACTATTTTATACTAGTTGTACTTTACTTTTTTTCATTCAGCACAACACACAGACAACATCAACTTCATTAAGTGTAGTAGTGACTATACCCTACATGACCAAAATACTCTAGCTATATACTTGTTCCAAACTTCCACCACTACAGATAAAAGTACTAGAACCAACACACAACTCAGATATAAATCAACCATAATTTAAACCTAGAAGGATATTGATCACAGTTGACCCGGATCTAAACCCTCCATAATTCTTACACCCACTCAAAAATCCTATTGAAAGTAACTGCCTTTATTACACACATCACAAGCCAGCACTATCCAAAACAATGCTAAAAGTCCTATCAGTACTTAACTACAACAACAAGTCCTTAAGCAAAACACTATGATGACCTCCTAGCACTCCTGAATCACTAAAGACACCCTTCTCCTGCATTATCTTACTGAGGACTGGCTAAAGCATGACACAATATATATCTACCCTCACCAGGATACCCAGCAATTCACAACTGCAGACCAAACCAAGTTGGGGGGGGGTATTGCAATCTATTACTCTAACCAATTATCTTGTATTAGCACCCTTGCTTGTTAGTGATGAATATGGGAATACATTTTTGCTAATTTTACTGTAAAAAAACCTTAAGACACCTATAACAATCGGTGCCATTTACCTGAATACCTCACACAAACATCCACAAATTTCAGTGAAAATTAAGTCACTATAACAAACAGACAAAATGAATAAGACACCACTCTTCCTCTTTTAGCTGTAGACTTCAACATCAACCTTGGCTTACTATATTATCACCTGTAACGATTTCACAACAATAAGAACAACACACTTCTCATACCAACATAACTAAACCACCAGGCTCCCTGAGACAAGTGGCACAACCATATGACCACTATATTACCAATATCCTACCTCCCCTTAAATCAGGGATAATCCACAGATAGCACTACAGACCACTACCCTACCTTCCTCCTGACAACCATGAGTAAACCACCACTTTTGAAACAACAAAGTCCATTTAGACTCCATACGAGGCTCAGTAAAGGAAGTTCACGAGCTGACTAGAAGACTGTTGACTGGCCTACAGAATTCTCCAAGGCAATGGTATTGATGACTGGACAGACATTTTCTAACTAATTACTTAGACTATACCAACAAACGGCTTGGTTGCCCATGGCCTACCAGGCACCATTCTGAAATCCACTGACAAGAAACACCAATTTAAAAGCAATATAGACAAGGCTTAAATACACAAAGATATTCTTAACACTATTCACAGCTCTCACCAAGGTAATAAAGAAAGCCAAACAACTATACTAACTCCAGAGATTTCCACCAGACACTAGAGAAGGATATATCAAAAGACCTTGATAAACAACACTCTCTCAGATTCAGGACCCACAAACTGAGAAAAAACCAAGAATATTGTCCTAACTAAACCTAATGAAACACCACTACATCCCACTGACACAGCTAACAAGATAAATGACTTTCTTCCTCAAACCATAGGATTCTAATCTCGCCCAGTAAAATCCACATACCAATGCCCTTGCCGTGGACTACCTAGATGGGAATTTCCCTAATCCTTCTATCTTGCACCAACCTGAGCCCACTGAAGTCACCGAGATTTAAAAGTCACTTAAAAATAACTCGGGGAATCTGTCTCAAGTCCCAACATTACTGACAAGCGAGCGGCCCATGTCCTATCGCCTGCTATTTTCATTACTCATTAACAAGGTCACTAGAGACTAGCACTTCCCGAAACTACTCAAGATTGACAAGGTTACAACCAATACATAAAGGCGGTGAACCCTACAGACTTAAAGCAACCTATAGGCCAATATCTAACTTTACCATTGCTATCCAAATCTTTGAGAAACTCGTGCACAGGAGACTGTATTCATTTATAAAAAACGGCTCAATAACATACTCACCCCAGCCAATTTGGATTCAGAAAAAATAAAAGTACTAATGATGCACTCCAATAAAAATGCTAGATCTCTTACACAGCATTGAAAATAAGGAATATCCACTAGGAATGTTTATTGACATAATAAAGCTTTGACAACAGTAGAAACCATCGACAACCTACTCCACAAACTGATCAATACGGTATAAGAGCCATGGCGCTTGCTTATTTCAAATCCTTACATTACTATAGTATCAGTATGTCCACCATTATAGAACACAGCAAATCCAGCAACACGGCACTTGATACTGAGTTCCGCAGGAAAGTGTCCTTGGCCCCCTCTCTTCCTCATTACACAATGACCATCCAAACTATCCCCAACACCTGAAACCACATTCCTCTTTGCTGACGACACGACGTTGTTCAACTCTCCCCCTAATCGATGCCCCCCTCACACCACTGTGAATGAGGAAGCTGATCATAATATCGACTCGGATG